TTCTCTCTCTCCCTCTCTCTCTCTCTCTCTCTCTCTCTCTCTCTCTCTCTCTCTCTCTCTCTCTCTCTCTCTCTCTCTCTCTTAATTCTTTCTTCCCTCCCAAGGTGTATATATTTCTAAGGATGAGAAAAAGAACTATTTATTTTTTGTTTTATAAATATTGTACAAGTAGAATTCGAATTACTTCTTCCATTTATATCAATCACTTTTTTGGTGGTTACAATTAATATATATATGGCAAAAAAATATTTTTCTTTAAAATGGTTACACCTTTTTCTCTGTTAGTATTTGACTACTTTGTCAAATTCATTTTTTAAACTTGACGAAATGAGAAAACAAAACATAAAAGAAAGAATTCCATATTTGACGTTGAGAAATTAACATCATGCATAATTTTTTCTAACTCTCATTTTTTCATATACATGCATTTTAAAAATACATCATAAAATTAAAAGAACAATATTTTATCATCCCAATTTTATACTCAAAATATTTAATTTCCTAAAAGAAACAAGACATTAGATTTTGTTGGACTAGAGAAACCTTTAGTTACTAAGAATTTCCTCTCGTCATTGCAGCATTATGTAATGTTTTACCAACAACGATTCCACCACGTATTGCTCCTCAACTTTGGTGCCACGTATGTGAAGTATAAAAATAAAAAATGCAATCCGACTCTTTTAAATAGTCAAGGGTCCATTCCAAATGCACCACCAAGCACCTATATAGATGCTACAAGTAGTGTAAATCTCAAGACAAGTAGGAATCTGAAGCCATAAATTGCCAACACTACCAGAGATGACAATAGCATTGTCCCAATTCTCCCCTCTAAAGTATATGCAAAACTCAGTGGGAACACAGGACATGGCGTAGTGCTGAGTTCACAAAAGATAACAAACACTTCTCCAAATAATATTCAGCTCCCACTTCCTAGTTCCTATCTCTTGCACTCAATCAATCACTCACTTTCTTTGTCCTTATTTAAGGCCAAACACTTCTCCCTTCACCACAAAACTATTCTCTACTATGACCTTCACCAGGGAGGAATATGAAGTTGATGATCATGTTCATGTAGATGGTGGATCAGAATCACACAACATTGCCAACCATGAAATTGTGACCCCTGAAGGTGATGATGATCATGAGAAGAATAACTTGGGAGGAGAATGGTTGAGTTTAGGCCTCAAAGGTGACATGCCTTTTGAAGCAGCAGAACAAAACAACAAGGCTAACCATGATTCACAATCATCAAAGCCTCTCCACAACAAGGTGTTCTCATGCAACTTCTGCATGAGAAAGTTTTACAGTTCACAAGCCTTGGGGGGTCACCAGAATGCACACAAGAGGGAAGGAGAAGCAGCAAGAAGCTACCAATCTCATAGGATGATGACAACATCATCATCAATGGGGCTTGCATACTCTTCTTTGGCATCTAGGTCACTAGGAATTCAGCCTCACTCTCTTGTGCATAAGCCAAGTAGAGAAAGATCTGCTATGGTGGCCAAATTCAGTGATGCCAATAGTTATGGGATTGGCGTGACATCATGGACACCCTTTATGGTTGAACAAGCTATGGATTTCTATTGGCCAGGTAGCTTCCGGTTGGACTTGCCAAAGCAAGAATCTGATGTTAAGAAGATTGACTTGGATCTTAGGCTCTGATCGATGCATTTGATCCAATTAACTTATTCAGAGTCCTGATTCTGATTTACACTACTACTGCTTTCTACTTGATTTCCCTATGCTATATTATGTCAATTGTGCTAATAAGATGTCAAGGGTAATACTATGGTAATTCTGAAGTTGTATTAATTGGTTTGAGAATGGAAACAACCACGTCCCAGTCCTTGTGTACTAAAAGTTTACGGTACTTTAAAAGTGTGTTTGGTTTCTATTACTAAAAATTGTTTTTAGTTTTTAAAATATAAATAATAAGGTTGCTCAACCAGCCGGTAGGTACTAGTGACTAGTGGTGTATAAGTCATAGAGGAAAGTTGAACATGATTAAAATGGAAGATCAGAAAATATCTCCCATTTACTTTTTCTTTTGACTTTCGAAACACTCATTTTTTAAAAGATTTTCAAATTTTAATTTTTTTTTTTTGAAAATTGATCAGTGACCAACAAGGTTTTATATTACACTAGCTATTGTAAAGTTATGGTGGTCCTTAGTATGACGAGAAAAATTGCGGACAAATGGATCACAATTACGGTGGCAAAAATTAAAAATTTAGACATTGCAATTAAAATTAAGGTTAATTATATGTACTTTTTAAAAAAAACTTTGGTGAGTAGTATGGAATCATTTCAAAAAAGTGTTTTTTAAGGCCAAAAATTAAGAACGAAATCAAACAAACCATAAGACTGCCTGTTTTCATTTTCCCCCTCTTTTGTGATGATCAGATTCTTACTTCAAGGATATATAAAATATAAAATGGAGGTGATATTATGAATGACTAATAAATTTCCTGCTCATTTCTACTGTTGATAAATTAAACGAGAATAAAGAGTACTGTAGGACTTGGGACTGATTTTGGACATAAGATGGGACGGTAGAGAGGTACATGAAAATGGAACCAATTAGGTTATTTTATTTTTTACGAAAAAAATGGAACCAAGTTGATTTTTCTGATCTCCGGAAAATACACTCATTTCCATCCAAAATGCAAGCGACAATATTGCATCAGTTCACACAGATTACAATCAGCTACAAAAGTAATAAAATTAAGTGCCTCTTTGTTTAGCATCCAAGATTAATTTTATACATCGTGACATACATTTTTATGTAAAAGTTACACTATTTGAGATTAATTTCGACACATATATCTCACTCGCGTATAATAATTCAAAATCAATTTTATTAAAATCGAAACCGTACAAACACCGAAAACGGTAATGAACCACAGTTAAAGATGTAATTGGGGATATTATTAATTAGTTGTAAAAGTGATGGAAAGAATAGTGGACATTTATTAATAAAAAAAAATAGTGAACATTTGATGTGGACAAAATTTCTCCAATTTCTGTTAAGTTTTGCTAGACTTTGGAACATTACTTAACGTTCCATTTGGATAATCAATTAATCATAGCATGAAATGAAGGATCTCGAGCTGAAACTTCGTTCACTTCAAAAATCAATACTAATAAAAGCTAATGCGCTCACTTCATAATTTTTTGAAAAGCCCTACCAAATTGTTTTCAAAATCATTTTTTATGCTTAAAGAATGGATAAACCAAGCTCATAGAATCTTATTTTTACTTGGTACTTTTTTATGTCGAATTTCACTTGGTACTCAAGCCTGCTTAAATAAATATAAAAAAATCTTGTAATTCCTTTTTTTTATATAATAATTTCTACAATTATGAGAGGGAAATAAGATAAGAAAAAAACTGTATAAGATAAATTGAGTAATGTGATAAAGAATAATCAAAGAAAAACAATATAAAAAAAAATGTGTTGTAATAATATATTTTTTTCTTGCTTACAACTCTCTAATACTTTCATGATGTCCTTGTACAGGCTATTTTTATTTCTAATAGAAAGTGTTTTTCAAAAATAGAAATTATATTGATTCACTTAATTGTTTTTACATATCTTTGTTACACATAAAATTAGTGTTTTTAGTCTTAAAATGGGCTATACTACGCAGACAAAAAGCCCAAAGATAGGCCCAAAATAGCAGTATTACAAATCAATAAAGACCTGAAACTTAGAAGACCCACTTACTTGCTATTGACATAATTTATACCTGGGGCTGGGTTTGGGACAAAAACATTGAGGTTGATGATATATACACTTCTATTTTTTTATACATACACTCCTTTTTTTAAAAAAATATATTAAATTTCTAAATTATCTTTAATATTATTTGAAATATAAAAAAAATATTCTGAAAAGTGTTTTTTAAAAGTTGATGATATATATACCTCCTTTTTCTTATAAGTACACCTCCTTTTCAAAAAAAAAAGTTAAAATTTTAAAATATTCTTAATTTTTTGCCTTTTTTTTTAATTTTATATTCACAACATTTAATTTAGTACTTTTTTTTTACAAATCTTTCTTTTTTTTCTTCTTTTTTTTTCTTTCAATTTTTACATGCACCCCGTTATCTTTCCTTCACCCTACCTATTTTGGTAGCATGTAAAAATTGAAAGAGAAAAAAAAAGTGTGTGAAAAAAAAAGAAAAAAGTAGAAAATTGAAAGTTAAAGGTATAAAATTAAAAAATATATATATATAATATTTTATAATTTTTTTAAAAAATAAAGAAGGTGTACTTATAAAAAAAAATAGGAGGTGTATATATCATGAGCCTTCCGAAAAGAGCTTTTTGTCAGAATAATTACGGAAAGTACTTTCCGGAATACTAAAATTACTATTCCGGAAATAACTTTCCGTCGAAATAATTATGGAAAATACTTTTTGTAACATTACCGATCTCGAAGAGGTGTTCGACCTGTTCATTGGCTGAAGGGGTGTTCGGTCTATTCATTAGCCTGATGGGTACTCAGCCTGAGGGGGGGGTACTCGGCCTATTCATTGGCCTGATGGGTACTCGGCCTGAAGGGGGTACTCGGCCTAAGTGGGGTACTCGGCCTATTTGTTGGCCTGATGGGTACTCGGCCTGAGGGGGTACTCGGCCTATTTGTTGGCCTGAGGGGTACTCGGCCTAAGGAGGTATTCGGCCCATTTGTTAGCTTGAGGGGTACTCGGCCTGAGGAAGGTACTCGTCCTAAGTGGAGTACTCGGCCTATTTGTTGGCCTGAGGGATACTCGGCCTGAGGGGGGTACTCAACCCATTTGCTGGCCTGAGGGGTACTCGACCTGAAAGGATGTTCGGCCCGAGGAGTTATTCGGCCTATTCCTGGTACATTATGATTCATGAGTTGGCAGATAATAATATGGTTGTTTACATTCACCCAAATTAACTCGCTTCTGAATTGTCATTTCCACAGAAAACATGGAACATATTAAATAGCCAATGCATCAAATCTGTGTCATGGAATATACTTGTAGCCGAGCCATGTGATGTTGCTCAAAAGGGCATCGAATTTAAGGTTTATAATACACAGAAATAATACATATTTTATAATTTTGAATCCAAGAAACACGAATTTAATTTCTCTGTAAAAATTAGAACAAGTTCGGACAATAATCATGGAACTCGAACTCAAACTTTAATAATCTTATCTTTGAAGTGGCCAGCCCGCACGACCATTGAAACCAGTTCAACCTGGCTCTTGTGCAGCACTTAAGTTTGCAAACTTAACAAGTAGGACCCCAAAAATTTGATAGCTCTAATTCATTGCTTGCCTTTTGCCTGGCATTGACTACTATTTACTGCACTAACACCATCCAACTCACAACATCCAACACTTGGTTAAGCATTAGTGTTAAGAATAAGTGGCAGGTTTGTCTTCACTCAAAATTATTTTTGAGGATAACATAATTAATTTGTAAAGAAAATAAATTTTAATGTATGTATCTCTTTTAGTTCTGAATATTATTTTTGTACTCAGTAGATCAAGTTTTGGACTCCTTAAATTTTTAGTATCATACTCCACGTCGGTTTGAAAGGCAGCATGAATTGCTTTCTACAATTTGCACTCTTCACAAACCTCAGAGCCTGCAACTCCATTCGTGAGTACTTATTCCCAGTCTTCATGTATAGAGAAATTAATCATGTATTAATGATTAAGTTAAGCATGCAAAATAATAAATAAAATATAAATAACTTAAATATTAATAATGCTAACATATATATATATATATATATGCGCGCGCGCGCATGTCCGCTTGATATAATATATAACGCATATATATTAATTTCTTACAAAACATATCTGCGTGAAACTTCTTGGAAATTTCAAAATGCACAAGAAATTTATTTTCCACAAAAGTACCACATTTGAATTTGCAGGAAAATGCAAAGAAAATTCGCATGTGATAATGAAAATTCTAATAATTAGATAGATTTCCACTAAATTACATGAATGATCCTCAAATCGTTGGTATAAAAACCCTCTGCTACTCAAATATAAATAATTCTTTAATTCAAAATATATATTTGTATACGATATTAGAACATAAGGACATAAAAATTCTCAAATTTGGACATCTCTGCTCCCTGGAAAATTAAAAAGTGAAACCCATAAATTATTAATTAAGCACGACTTAATTATCATTTCATTTTCAATGTCACGCGGAGGTTCATCAAAATAAAGTATGAGTAGTTAATTTATGCCAGACATTAGGCACCGATTCAGAAGCTAAATATCAAAAGAAAACTACATTAGAGTAAAAGGAACTAACTACTTCACAATTTTCATCAAGCCCTAACTATAGAAAATAGGAAATAAAATAGAGAAAACTCTTTGATTATGGTCCAAAAAAATCTTCCTTCCTTACCTATTTGAGCTCATCACCACTTGATTTCTTACTTTCACTTCCAAAACACTCCATCTCCCTCTCCACTTTATGTTTATTTATTTACTGCATACCTTTTCTTTTTGTCTATAACATAACTATCGTTCGTTTGATGTAACTTTATTCAAGTATAACTTTCTAAATATTTAATATAATTGTATATATAGAATTCCAATCGCTTGTTAAATTAAAAAGAAACCCTAACATATGTAATTTAATTATATCCTCGGTGGTGGTATTACATCCCTCTTTTAGTTTTATATATGTTGCAAAGAAGTTATAAAGCTTTGGGTTCTTGTAGCTAGTTCCATGGCGCTCAAAATCCCAGCACCATGGCGCTAAATCTATTAGGGCTAAGGTGATTTTTTCTACAAGCAACCGACAAAA